AAAATTAACAGCAATACATTGCCAACAAAAACAATGACGATAACAGCAGTTTTGTTGATTAATTGTTTTTACTGAATTTATCTGATTCAACGAAAAGATACTTTGAGTTACACAAAACAACAACAACAACAACAACAACAAACATCCACAACAAAAGTGATCAGATATGTTCTTAGAATCAACTATTGTTTAATTGTGCTACAAAACCTGATTTTGAAATCACGTTTTAAGCATCGTTTCTGTGTTTATAGTCAGTTTAATTGACAATTAACGTTCTCAACAATGATCTATTTGTCTACCTGTAAATATTTCGCACTTAATTATCATTTTTTTCATCTTTTTCGTTTTTTTTGAAATTGTTGTAACCAATTTATGTCTAACAACGAAGAACTTGCTCATTTAGTTATCATTATTATAGTTGTTATAGAACTGGTAGCCACAAAAAATTCAATAGTTCACAACAGTTCTATCAACAATAGTTGTACTAAAATAGTTTAGAAAAGCAAATGTCAAGAACAGTGCAGGGTGCAAAATAGAAACTGGTCAACGATTTCTTGCTTCTAATAAGTTCAAAAAAAAAAAAAAACTGAAGAATAACTGATTCAAAAAAAAATAGGATGATGTTTGATTTGAACATAATTATTTTTGACCAGATATTAATTGACCGACTTTGGAAATCACGTAGTTGAAATCAAAGTGATAAGTGTTTTCTGAATCTTAAATAATTCAATACACTAAAGGCACACAATTTTTGGTACTCTAATGAACTAAGAATGTTAAATTTGGTGTTATAGCGAAAGCTGGAGACGAAAAAAAGTATGATTTAAATAAAAGAAAAACAGCGCTTTACACTCATTTTTGCAATTTTTTAATAATATCTATCAGGTTGGCCAAGTTTAGGTTCATTTTATAACTTACTGAAATATATCGCTTATGTTTACAGGGCAAAATTTAGCACTTCTTTTACACTCACATCTTTTTCTTTTCTTTTTCAACATATTGCTCTCTCCAACTACTTCCATTATTTTAGCTTTCATTAAATTTAGAACAAATTTAACATTTAAATTGATTTAGCAGTATGTAAAACGAGTGAATGCAAAATTATACACCTGTCATGCATTTTTGACCGCATTTCATCTGTCTGGAACAGTGACCTAAACTCAGCAACAAATCTCAAGAAATACTTTTGGACCATATCATATAACACTGAACAGAAATGGAGAAAAAAAAAAGTGAAAAAGAAAAGCCAACAGATTGAGGTAAAATCACTGAGGAAAAAAACAGTTTTAATAGTGCATAAATAACAGCTTGCTTTCTATTTAAGTTTACCTTTTGATAGAATGAATTTTTTTTTTTCATTCTCACTGGAGAGTTATTTTTGGTGCTTGAATCTCTGAATCATAAACGGTTGACTACCTTTTAACTTTCAAAATTAATAGGCAAAAAAAAAGGTGAACAACGACCAACTTCTTTTTACACACCGCAGCACAGCCAAGATTCTGCTAAGTTCCATAAAGTATTTGTCAAAAAGTAGCATTCACGAAAATTCAATGTTGGTTAATAGATTGGCCCTATTATTATGTTTAAACGACGTCATTCACGGCATATAATTTGTAGCACAACATTTTGTGCGTAATCCTTATTATAGTTCTGCTATTATATACCATTTAAAAAAATTTCCTTTTTTTCTTCTTATATATTATTCATTTTGATGCTTAAATCTTTGAATCATAAACCAATTTTTTGTTGTGGAGATGACAAATCAACAATTTCAGCTATATCAGTGAGGAAATATTAATGACGTCAGAATACAGGCGCCACTGATATAACCGGCATCCACTGTACAGTATCAGTGAACGATTACAAATTTATTGGCATAGTTCTTCAGGTTTCCACTGTTAAAGCTAAGTAATTAATAAAAGTTCAACAAAAAGACAAACATCATTTTATTATTTATTGTTCAGTTCAAAGTTTTTCCTGAAAATTACCAATGATTTCAGTGTTCTTAGTCACGTGCAGCATTTTTTCGTATAGAACATTTTTTTTTTTTATTGCTTCTCATCCAAAACATATTGACAATCAATAGTCAAAATAAATCACTCATATTTCTCAGCATAGCTTTGTGGATATTCATTTGCAGCAAACAGCAGCCATATAAAAATATTGATATTTGTTAACCAAATTAGGCACTCATCGACGGTATAGTTTCTGTAGACAGGCAAAGGTATAACTGATAAATAGTGAAAAAAATTTACGAAGATTTAATTTATTTTTAAAACATTAACAAGATCTGCTTAAATTTTTACAGCTTTAAAACAATGTTAATATTGACATAAATGATATTACCAGTAGTATTACTAGCAGCACAAGATGAAACAAAGACAAAACTAATTCATGTTTATCTTTAATCGCTCAACACTTAGTTAACAAAGGAAAGTTGATATATGTATATATTTCTTAATTTATAATTCAACTGCTAAACAACAGAAAAAATAGTGTAAACAATATATTATGAGCAATTTTAATGAGGTAGTGAATAACAGGAAAGAATCAAGGCAACATTATAAGAGAACTCTGCTTTCTTCTTTTACATTATAGTATACTTTAGCACACTGAGAAACAGTTTCAATACAGAGCTTCTGTAGCATTTTCAAATAAAGAAATACTTTACAAAAACCTTTTTTTTTCTTTATACCTTAAAAATAGTTCTTCATATCACCCATACATCAACTATACAATTCATGCAATAGCTGTACATAAAAGTTAATCTAAAACGACAAAAGGAAAAGAATAAACTGTAGAACAAAGATTGTTTAAAGATATTTTAAAAGTCAACTTTTTATAAGTTACAGTGCTTGACTAGTATCTGTGAACCTGTATAACTGTTAGAGGATCACCATAGTTGCGTCTTGTTTTTCGTCAACAACCTCGCCCTCATTCTTCGACGATGTTTTATACGTTTTTGTACCGGTAGGCGAAAAAAACAACGGCAAATTTACAGTGTCTCATCAAATAGAACAGAACCATCTGTCTGTGCCACAGTATTAGATAGAATTTTTTTAAAAAAAAGTAAGTGTTAAATTTAAACAGTATGCTGTAACGACGTTGTTGATATTACTGGTCTTGGTATTCGATAGGTCTTTTTCAGTATAGATACAGGATGTTGGTTAGTTGTTGGCGGTGGTAATGTTGGTAAGGTGGATACTGGTGACGGTGGAGGGTCATCACGTGGCATAATAATTTGCTTTATACAACCTTTCAGAAAATATATGCAAAGCAGAATTGCAACTATTGTGATGGACATTAACAGCACATAGATTACCAACAATGGCCACATCTCAATTCCACACTGCAAATATCCAAAAAATTCACTCATTTTTTAATAAAAAAAAATAGTAGAAATTAAAAAATAAGTTTATAGTTTATAGAATGTTTGAAGAAAAATATCAGTGTGATAACAGTTTACAAATAAGGTAGTGTTTTATCAATTTCAAAAAAATAAAATTCAATAAAGTATGACTGTACACCAGTTACCTTGTAAAATCATACTGATCAACTTGAGTAAAGTATAAAGAAAACTTCAAAAACAAAACCTAAATTTTTCTTTCCAACTTTAACCACTGTTAAAAAAAAGAAAAAATTTTTTGATGAAAAAAAAAAAAGACGGAAAGCAGTATATAATTACAAAAAAATTTAGCTTTTTCCAACACTTCATTCTGAATATTAACCCCAATAATCTATAAATTTTTCAGCTATTCATTCAAAACGATTTGAAGTTGTCAAATTTAGCAATTTGTTGAAAAAACTGCTTATACATAAAAATCTTTTAAAACTGTTTCCTGTTTATAACATTGAAGAAGGAAAATCAGAACTTAATTTTTTTGACTTTTATTATTTCTAAAATTCTTAAACAAATATTCAATTAAAAAAAAAAAAAATTCATTTTTACTTTTGATCACTTAGGCTTTTCACATGCTTTCTTCCTCTATTATCACTTTCTAAAACTGTTGCAGTTGTATAACAGTCGTAAACATTATGACAAAAATTCACAACAACTGAAACAAAAAATTTTTAAGTTTGCAAAAGGCAAACCAAAGAGTTTTTCGTTTCGCTTGAATTAACAATTTCTATGCTACATTTGAATGCACCAATAGAATACCATACCGCTTGATGAACAGTTTTCGGTAGACTAAAGTAAACTTAAATTTTTGTTGACTTTAACTCCACAGAAAACACATCATTGTTAAATTGAGGAAAAACACATTAGAACAAAGTAAAACATCTTTTTTTCAATCAAAAATTAATAAGTTTAAACTGAATGCTGTTAAAGTGAGATATAAAATGATAAAACATAGAAACCGCAGTCAGTACTTTCAGCATTTTCTTCTGAATTAATTTGACTACTCTTTACTAATAAATGTCAGTAAATTTTACCGTAGAAAGACAGTCAGAGAAGAATGCCAACAAAATTGAAGTGCAAAATTTGTAACCAACAATAATGTTTGCCCAAATTACACTGATTTGGTATCAGTAAAGTTAAACTGTACCAGTCTATAGATTCATACCAAAAAAAAAAAGAACTATCCGAGTAAGAAAATATGTCAAAAATTTACATAATTCCAATAGCGTCAAAACCAAAAAAAATTTTTTTTT